TAAAGGTGTTAACTGTAATCTTACACTGCAAACTAATAACTTAAAAATGATTCAATTCATCACAATTATGTAAGTATCTGGAAATTTGCTGTGGGGCAAGGACCCTTATATATCATATAATATATATCATTATATACAATGTAATATATATTAGTTGGGCCCTACTAATATCATTAGTAACATTAAATATTACACAATAAACCAAAGTATATCAGTAGGAGTTTCCTTAAGTCTTTCTGATAGTTTTCTACAGGCTGGTTTATTACAACAGTAGAAAACACTTCTGAAATTATGGTTTATACTGTAGTTTTGGTGTGCCACCCCAAGATTTTTACTGGCCCCATCTGGCCACCCCTACGAAAAATTTCTGGAGGCGCCACTGCTTCCGCACCCTCAGAGACAGAGAGGAATGTGTGGGCTGACGCACTGGAACGTCGAGCGCACTCATTCCAGTCTGTGGGCTCAGTGATGATGTCAAGTCTTTCTTAACCAACTCAGGGCGCTGCCCACCCGTGGGCGAGCAGCGGGAACTGAAAACGAAAGATTTTCCCCCCGGCCCTCCACCGGGGGCAGGAGGGGGCCTGCTCCCGCCTCCTGGGGAAAAACTCAACTCCATCACTGAGCAGCCCGTATCAGGATCATCGCTTACCTGGCGTTTAGCGGGGTGTGCGGCCTGAGGGGGCTGTGACGCCTGCCGGCGGCCTCCTCCACGCCGTGGCCCGGATGAAGGCTGCTGCTGGGGCGGGGCGGGAGGCAGGGGAGCCGCGGGGGCGTCCTCGGCGGCGAGCAGCGGGAGGCATCTGTGCCGACGACTGGGTGGAGGCAGCAGCTGGTCGTCGGGGCAGAACATGTTTGATTGCCTCCGTCTGCTCCTGGGCAGTGGAGACTGCTGGGCAAGAGTTCTCGACTGCACCGCCAAAAAAGGCCAACCTGGGAGAGAAGGGCGTCGAGCAGACGAATCCGCTCAGCGCTCCGAGTGTCTGCCAGGTTGACGCTCCTGGACCACACTAGTGGCCATCACCTGACCAACGGCGCGAGCGGCCACTTTCGTTGCCCTTTTGGAGAGCAAGGTCAGTGGCGGACCGCAAATCTTCGAATGCCGTTGGATCAGTCCCGCCCTCGAGCATATCTCTGAGCATCTGCGCTTGCACAGTGCTCATCGCATGCAAAGCGGAGGCCGCCCGTCCCGCCGCTCTATAGGAACGCGCCGCCATGGCAGACGAGAACCTACAGGCTTTGGATGGGTGCCTAGGAGGACCACGGAGGAGGCGCTCCGTGGACACAGCTGTACCGCAACAGAACGCTCCAGCGGGGGCATCCCAGTGCACCCACGGGCGGCCCCCCATCGAGGGGGGAAAGGCGGGGGAGAGATCGCGCTCTCGAGTGGACAGAGGAGTCCCCCAAGAGCGCGATAACTCCGCATGCAGCTCGGGGAAAAAAAGGCAATGGAGTTGGCCGTGGCCTCGCGGCGGCAGCTTTGTCCAAAAACCAATTATCCCTCCGTGAGAGATCGGGGGAGAATGGAGGATGCCACTCTAACCCAATACTCCAGCGGCTTGAGACAGCATGCCGTCAGCTCGGGATCCGACACGGGCAGCGCTGGCTCTCCCGAAGGGGGCAGTGCAGCCGCATCCTCATCTCCCGAGGACTGTAGCCCGCCTAGTGATGCTGCGATCGACATCACATCATCATCTGGAGCGCTGCTCGAAGCAGCCGGTACCACTGAAGAGGCAGCCGACTGAATCGAACTAACGCTCGCTGGCTCACGCACTGAGGCGGGAGGTGTGGCCCGAGAAATCGTCGGGGCTTTATGCCACACCGTCACCGTTAATTCGCCGGGTCCCCGGTCGACGGGCCCCCTTTCGTGAAGGAAGCCGATCGAGTAAGGGGGACCGGGGCTCTCACTCTAGTGAGATTTTTTTTTTTTTTTACATATAAAAAAATATATATTTTTTATATATAAAATATATTATTATTATTTTTTTTTTTAACCTCAGTGTGGAGATGGTCATGTCCCCATAGCAGGAACATGAGTCATCCACGAACGCTGCTGCTGCATGCTGAATGCCCAGGCATACAGAGCAGCGATCGCGACCATCAGATGACGACAGAAATCGACCGCATCCAGAAGAACACGGGCGAACCGTCATTAAAAAGACGTGCCGCGTGTAGCTCTTTTACAGAGAGGAGGAAATTCACTCTTTCAGCGCTGAGGCGACCAGGGAGAAGCGCAAAGTCTGGCAGACCACTGCACAGATCGCAGGCAATGCAGAAACTCGCTGGGTACCGCCGTCACACCAACACTGAAGAGGACGCTCGTCTCGAAGAGTCTTGAATCAGCTTTGAGGAGTGAAGAGGTTCTCTTGGCTCCGAAGCGAAAACATACTGCGGTTGCGTTCACTTCCTCCTTTTATACTCACGGAGTAGGGCGGAGTACGCTATGCAAATTTCCGCAGCCCCAAGGCATTGCATGCCATTGGCTCGTGTTTAAATACTCGAAGAGGATTGGCTTTCTATGCGAAATCCCCCAATCTCCGTCACTTCTGACGTAACTCGAAGTGACTACGAAAGGGAACATATTTTACTTACTAAAAATATGTTTAGTTAATGATTACAAATCTTAAGCGTTATTTAAAAAAAAAAATGTGTTACTATGATCCATTTCAGTTTTTGTTGTATATTTGTGAACGCATTAATATGGATCCAGACAAAACGAGTGTCATGTCCAAGCAGTTGCACAAACATTACCTTGCACTGATTGCATCTGTGCTGCTCAAGTCCAGTGAATATCCAACCTCATTTAGGCCCCGTCCACACTACTGCGTTTTCGTTTAAAAACGGAGAATTAAAACGAAAACGATCTCCGTCCACACTAGCGTTTTACCTGCGTATTAGAATTTATCTCCGTCCACACTAAAACGACTGAAAACGTGGATCACGTGACCATTCACCAACACTGGGCATGCGCGCGCCGGTGTAAACAGTGGTTGGCAAATCAGGGAAAGATACGTCATGACTGATGACACCCAATCATAGAGCCGAGCGTGAGCCTCTGCGTCATCGTTTGTAAACTCCTCCGTTTTCTCTTGTCCACACTAAAACGCCCTCCGGAGATTCAAAACGCAAAACGCAGCTGCAGCGTTTCTAAACTTCTCAGTTTTAGGTCTTCGTTTTTCCCGTTTAAGTGTGGACGGGAGGTGCAAACGTAGCAAAAGGTCTCCGTTTTTAAACGAAAACGCAGTAGTGTGGACGGGGCCTTAGCCGATCGTAATAGTCTACCTTGAAAGTGTTTCAGAACAACTGTCTAAATCCAACACCTGCAAAAATGTGCTATCCATGCTATTTTAACCAATACAAATGCAGACTTGAATTTCAAGTTTTTGGTAAATGAGGTAAACCCCATATCTCTCAAAGGGAATATGTACATTCTATGGAATCATATGTGAGTTTAATCAAGAGTGACATTACACACAAAAAAAGAAGAAAAGAAAAATCCCCCTGTGTTGAGAAAGTTTTTCAAAAACTTACTGCAACAAAACCAGACAAGCACAGTACATGTCCAGTGAAAACAAAATATTTTTTATTTACTGTAACTGAGCAGTTTCCCAAGAGAACTGCAAACCACACTAAAAATACCATTGACATGCCATGATTACCTCTTGGTGTTTAAAAATAAATAAATAATACTGTCAGGATTTACTTAAGACATGCAGTGTTATTTTTGCAACTGACCTTATTGCATATGCATTTGTAGAAGTTTCCCTTTCAGACACAACATTTATGGAGGGAGACTATTTAATTGAATCATGCAAGGTGATTTACTAAGGTTTGCCCTCATCAGTTTACTGATGTGCACCATTATTTAATGCCCCAAAAAGCATGTCTTAAACCAGACACTAATATGCACTGCTGTTGATAGATTGTGTTGGTCATTATGGAACTGATCCGGCTGCGTCTATGTTCTTTAATTAGCACGACGTCAGTAGATCACACGCAGAACTTTCCATTCCCATCGGCACTTTTTTTGTAATTGTGCTCTCATGCTAATTTGCCCTGTTTAGTAAATCTGGCCCCTAAATGTTAAAATCACTCTGGTTTAAGTGACATAGCATTTTGTCCATTTGCAAGATTCCCTGCACATGAGTAGCAACAACATGCTAACAAAAAGTTTATTAGGCAGTTTATAAACTCTTTCCACTTAAGGTCGATTTTTCGTAATGTGGCCACTATGTGTTTAATCGTCAGCAATCACAAACACCAGTGCTAAGAATTTACTCTCTCTCGTCAGTCAAGTTTTTAGGCCATTTTGGGTACTTTGAAACAAAGAAAGCAAAATAGTGTGGCAGAGTTGAATTAGCCACTGAATTTGTTTTCATCGAGTTGTAAAGAAAAACATCTGTTTATGCCTTTGGGGGTAGCACGAGGAATGCTGGGTAGAAACACTGTATTTCTAAACAGTTTATCATCTCTGACAAATGTGCATGCTGGACATTGTTCCTTACTTGCGTAACGCTCCGGGAATTGGCCGGGCATTCCATAGCATTGACCAAAGATGTCCTCAGAAATGTAAAAATAAGTTGTAATGTAAAATAAGAAACTCTGTTATGAAACTCTAGCTGGCTTAGACTCGTGGGTCTTTAACATAACTGATGATATTTATATTGTTATCTGCATAGCACGAGCTGATTGGTTGATGTTGCATCAGCAGCCAATGAACTTGCTTCTCAACATTTAAATAGTTAGCACTTTCAGAGTTCCTCTGCAACCATCCACCTTCCTCATTTCCTGTGTTTATCTTCTATATATCCTGAAGCAGTATGTCACGTCTTACATGCACAACAGCTGCATATCAGTGTATGTATTGGCAGTAGCAAGTACTAGCAAGTAGCAATACTCAACAGCATCAGTAATATCAGAGAACAAATACATTAGCCTTGTCAAATCCACTAACATGCAAGCATCTTCATGGATAGAACTTCTGTTTCTCTTCTCTCCATCAGCAGACACTGAGCAGGACTTTTGTGGCCCGGACAAAGAGCTGGATGAGGAGACCTGTCAGTGTGTATGCCGAAAAGAGCTGAGAACGGCAGACTGTGGACCACTGCACTACCTGGACAAGAACACCTGTCATTGTGCGTGTAAAGTTCAGCCCTCTTCATGTGGGCCTCATCAGAGCTTCAACAAGGACACCTGCCAGTGTACCTGCTCCAAGGTGTGTCCTAGGAGTCATCCTCTCAACCGCACCAAATGTGTGTGTGAATGCACAGAGTCTCCTAACAAGTGCTTCTTAAAAGGGAGTCGGTTCCACCCAGCCACATGCAGGTGAGAAAAGTTTTCTGTTACTCATCAGGTTCTCCCTAAAGGCCCAAATATACTCGCGGCAAAGTTATTTTCAGTTCTTCGCTTAGGGGTAAAAAGAAGTTTAGTGTAATATACTGTTACTGAACATTCCGATTCATATGCAAATATGTAAATATGTGCTGCTCATTCCTACAAGATAAAAATTACAGCAGAGAAGAGAGCATTAGATTATAGCTATGTGTGCATATGTTTTGCTCAAGTTCTGCAATTTTTATATGCCACTTTATAGAATATATTACTTTGAAGTAGTAGACAGCTTTACAGGAATAAACATGAAAAATTATATTTTATGCAAAGTGTCATATGCTATTCACACAAACACCTAAAATCTTGATGGATTTAATGTTCGTACAGTAAACACAAACAGAATTATGGGTAATTAAGGCCCTTTCATTACAATGTAAATATACTGTAGGTAAACAAAAATATAAACTTGTAAGACAATGTGGAAAAATAAACATTCCTAAAACATTTAATTTACGCTATTTCAACAACATTATAGTTAACATGAAGTAACGATTAACAATACTTCTAAATAATTTATCAATTAATTTCAACATTTGATAATAGATTTTAAAAAATGATAATGCACTGTGAACTAGGGCTGGGTATCGATTCACATTTCAATTTCGATTCGATTTCGATTCGCAAGCTCTCAGTTCGATTCGATTTCGATTCTCGATTCGATTTTCGATTCTCGATTCCTGATTTGATTCTCGATTCAACTATAATGAAGATGTAATAAAAATCCTATATTTATAATTTATAAAAGAACAGAACAGTCGCACAGCTTGATCAAACAGTATGATGTTATTTTATGTTTAAGATAGATACATATATAAATATTTAGACATTTTTTACATTGATCTTACCTAAATGTTAATGTATTTTTTTGTTAAGAGTTTATGTATGGATGCTTGATTTCAATCTTTGAATTAAATTGAAAAAAGTAGCACAAATAAATACAATAAAGACAAAAATTAAGAGACATTTTGGGGTAGTTTTTTTGGGTATGTCAGATATAGCCTACTACAGAAACTGAATAAAGTAATCCAATGTAAAATAACACTGGATAGTCTTTTTAGTCCAGACTGAATTAAATACAAAGGCTATTAATTCTGATTGCTTACAATTAATACTATATTCTGTTGTTATGACAACAGAATTAATGACTGACACAAATGGCTGCGTTCACTTTAAGAACTAGTGTGCGAATCCATTACTGTTTCATTAACTTTCTGTCACACGCTTTTAATGCTAATTTAAGACATTACCTACTGTCTTTACGAGGTTACTCACCAAGACCAGAGTTTTGACATAATGTTGCGTGTTTTAACTGTTAAAGCGATATAATCCAGGGATAAAACTTTTGTTTCTGGCGAGCTGTTTGTGAGGCGGATTTAGGCTGTGCACGCAGTGAAAGAAATCTCTGAGAGTGCGCGAGCACGGGATGGTTTAACATTGCTTGAGCAAATAAATGATAAATGTTAGTTACGATCATAGGTCACGATGCAATGCTGGCCCGATTGTGCAAGTGAATATTCCGTCGTGTCCCGACTCCTGAACGCGTGTGTGTATCGACAGCTGCAGCGCTTAGCGCTTGCCTAGTGCAGAAGATGCAGCACCGCGTCCGCGAGCCCTTTATATGGAAAAAAAATCGATTCGTGGCCGTTGAGAATCGATTTTGAATCGACCACATTTTAAAAAACGATTAATCGAAAAATCGATTTTTTTGCCCAGCCCTACTGTGAACTAACATAAACCATGAAAAAATATATATATTTATGTATATTTATACTATATATATATATATATATATATAGTGTCATTGTTTATGTTAGTTCACAGTGCATTATAACTTTTCAATTTCATACTTTTATTATTTTTCAGTTTTATTATCTTATCAAAAAAATCAAGTAAATTCTGTGACTGTTGTTGATTTTTATCATTTAAAAACCTTTACAAAATATTACTGATGCGCTTACATGCTACAGTGATAATATCCGATAGTAATACCATTTTTTCCCCCCCTTTCTTATTGTTAGTTGTGTCTGGCCGCCATGTAACGTGGACCCCAGGAGAAGGAGATGTAAGGATAATGAGTATTTCAGTGAGCAACTGTGTTACTGTATACCCAAATACCTGGGGAGACTGAACTAAATACAACCAACAGTACAGGTAGCACTGAATGCTTACGGACACGCTGGTATTTGGAGCAGTGCTAATGTTCGGCTGCTGCTTATCTGACTCACATGTGCTAGGTCATGTGGACTAGTGTGGAGTAAGTGGGAGACAAGAAATGACCACATTTAACCCCACATATCAAGCATGGGGTGAGCTATTAAGGACTGAGAGAAATTTTCTAAGGCTGGAGCCATGTTTTTTCATTGTTTTAATTGAATTGTCTTTTCATTTTTTTTGTCAGATAATGATTATATAATTTATTGCCATGAAATGTTTTGAATCTCCCTTGTTCATAGCATTCATTTCAAATCTCTGCAAAGACAAAAAAAAAAAAACCACTGTGATCAATATTTTTGTATCATGTTAAGTCCCGTAAAATAAAGTATAAAGTTGTATTATATATTGTTAACTTATTTATAAGCTAGACTATCTTATTGTAATAATACTGCACATGATTCAAATTTATTTAGTATTGACTACCAAATACTGTATATGCACCTATCATTCCAGATAAAGTTATTCCAGATATCAAACTGACAGTGCAAGCCGGCAAAGAAACTTTTTTGTGCTGGAAGCATTGCTTGTTGACAATCTAAAACCATCATGCAAGTCACCTCCAACATCGAAGACTCTGAACAAGGAAATACAGCATGATATTAACAGGGGAAAACCCTGGATATGGACCATTAGCAGTATGCAGTTCCATAAGAGTTACATGAGTGACAATGTACACTTGGATGAATGGATTTCACTTATGTCACATCCAACCTGCCTCCTTAAGTAAAAACAGTATTACAGTGAAACAAGCTCTAAGTTTGGAGATCAGTGGAGGACTCATCTTTTAGGACTTTAACCTCAATTGATTTGTAAATAGGAGCAATGTGATTGGCCCAACTCCACTTGATATCGGCCCTCTGTTTCAGCTTGACACTGTAAATATAATAAATCACCTCTGCTTCCATCCCAGTTCTTGTATCTTTGTCTGCCAAAAGTGTGTGTGTGATTTCTTTTTCTTCCTTTTTTCACCGATTCTCATTCCATAGAAAGCCCCTGGAGAACCATAATGGAACAATAATCTTCTGCCATCAGATGGGAATGATCAGAAACAAACTCTGGAGCTAAATCCAGCACATCTTTTGTCTTCTAGCATATTCATACAGCAGGTGGCCTCGTTCCCATGTGTTTTAACCCCAGTATATGCAAAGACGTTTTCTAAATTCACACACGTCACTGCTTCTTTTCTTCAGGGCTCTTCAGATCTAGTTGCATCGCTTTTGCATCTGGACTGTATTACCCCTTCCTTCTCTAACACATGCTACCATGGATTTTATGTTGTAAAATTGTGCACCATTTATCTGTTTCCAGCTAAAATGAGGGTTTCCCTGTACCCTGGTTTGCAACAGATTGTACCATAGCCATCTGCATCCGCTGCACAATCCCAAGAGAGACCTGATAAAAATAACATATGTGGACTCACAGTGGAGCACCGTGAAATAACTTGAAACAGTCGTCCCGTCAGTGGATTTGAGTATTTGAGAATGGGGGTGAAGCCATGTCTAGTCTGATTTTCCCCTCTGCCTTGGCTTGCTTACCTAGTTCGTAGTGGTGAATGAAGATGAGGTTTAAATTTCAACATTTAGCTGACATTAGGTTTTCATCTGGTGCTTGTGTATTCCAATGAACTAGAAACGAAAATAAGTACAGACATGTAAATAAATGAGTGGTTTGTTCTTATAATTTAAAAGACTAGCGTTTCAGACATCCCAGCTAGCATGTTTATACAATGTAAACAAAAATAAGCGGTGAGTAAAATGCAGCAAAACAAATAATTTACAGAGAAATAACGTAAATTTGGTTATGCATAGAAAAACTATGTGGTAGCCAGAACATGTCAATAAGCAGAAATATGTTACGCTGCTAAATAAATATCGTGTGTGGTCCTGGGAACCTCAGCTAGAGGTCATCACATAAATCCTCAACTCCATAAAATCTGTAATTTCTGCCTGTATGTTTCACCTGAATGGGCTCCAGTATCATACACCTGGCACCGGTTAGGTATCTGCTGCATTGCTTGGCTTTTCATTGCAGTTAAGATTACTCTCCCCATTACGTGCTGTTCTATCACAAACTGGATGCTATAACTTAAGTCACCTGTGTATGATTTTATGGATTCAGATGTAGACAATTAAGTTGTAATTGGTTAGGGGTTTATTATTGTCCACACATCACATGTCTCTTTAGAGGAAATGCACGAGTATGTTTTCATAGCTGATTGTGGAATCTGTTTGTGGCATTACTAAAGTGCTGGCAATCAACTGAGTCCTGTCCCCAGGCATTTGTGTCAACTTCCAGCCTGTGCATTTATTCTTCCAAGCACTCATACAGCCCCAGTTGTCAACTTTATGTTCAGTATACTTTAATAAAACAATAATAATAATATATTTATTTAAAAAACTGGATTATACTGAGCCCCTAAAGGGACCTTTGCAAAAATAAAAAAATAAAGACTATCGCTTGCGCACGCAATGCATTACAATTTCCGGTTTGCGTACAAGTTTCACCGTTTAAGTTTCACCTTGTAATGGTCAAAACACGTCCCAAGACGTCAGTTATATGACGTCTTGGGATGAGACTGCACTGACAGAGAAGGAAATGAATAGTTGAATAAAGTCGTTATTTTTGTTCGTTTGTTGCACACAAAAAAATTCTCGTCGATTGATAAATTTAAAAGAGAACTCTGGCGCAAAATGATTCTTAACTAGCAATTTATTTGTACTTATTATATGCCCCCATAGACTAGCGTTATACACTAAAAAGTTTTTAGAGATAAAACCACATTCGATTATCATGAAAACAAATCTCAGAGAACGGTTGACTAGGTACCAATGTGATTAGACCAAAGGTTAATTTTGTTCTCCTTTAAGATTGAGCCACTGTAGTAACTCGGATTATTTTACCTACATGTATGTCTTTCATAACTTTTGGGCCGGCCAGTTTAAATCCCTTATGAAGCCTTTGGAGGAGTGATCCAGCTCTCAGATTTAATCAAAGGTATCTTAATTTGTGTTCTGAAGATGAACGAAAGTCTTACGGGGTTGGGTACAACATGAGAGTGAGTAATTACTGACAGAATTTTCATTTTTGGGTGAACTAACCCTTTAATGACAGAATTAAATTCTTCAAAATGCACAGGAAAACTATGGATTTGCATAAATTGTTTGTATGTTAAAATATTTCCATAATTTAGAAACATATTCATAAGATGATTAATATACCCCCGTTAAACCAATTCCTTAAAAATAAGGATTTATTGGTCGCGTTGTAACAAACAGTTTAATAACACTTTCGTCTTTTTGAAGGAGAACTTTAAACTTTGACATCCATGCTCTGGTTTTCTGCAAACCGGAAATTATAATGCATGCGCACGAGAAACATATCGGGCATGTACAAGGTACTATGGGGTGCGCACAAGATACTATTGCATACGCATGCTATTGTCATTTTTTTTTTCTTTTTTTCCAAAGGTCCCTTTGGGGCTCCGTAGTACTATGTATGAGTGATCAAGAAAGTTTTGTTTTGCTTTGGTGTGTAACAGTGTAAGTATTTTTTTTTCTGCACAAAAAGAATTGAATCTTTGATGATCTTTCACGTTTATTCCACAAAGTAGCAATATCTGATATTGCAATATCATTGCAATATCAATGTTGAAGTGACGTTTCACTCATAGTTACCGCAGGTAGAAAACAAAAGAATAGGAAGGATCATCCGTAAAATATTTAAATGGTTCAACGATTTATGCAGAGCAAGTAAGTACTGTACACAATCAAATATTAGAGTCACTTTCACCTGATGGTTGATCTGGTCAGCATTCAAAATATTGATTTTGAAGATGATGAAAAAAATAGTTTTGAGAATGTGTTTGAGATCATGAATATGAGCCAGATTCTGAATGTACTGGGAAATGAGCTCTGATGAGGACAGTGATGATAATATAAAACATCTGCTCAAACTGAACCCTTCCAAGCCCCAAAAAGGTAATAAAATATGCTTTATGTTATTCTGTAATGGTTACTCTAATATAAGGAGAATTCTATATTATAGAGTCGCTAAAAGACCCATTTAATGCCATGCATTTAAGGGTTAAGATCCTTATATAGAATGTATAGGTATCAAAAATGTCTGTTTTACTTTTTGAAACATAATTTTTTGGGGTATTAAAATTGAAACCTAAAAATGCCCTTTAGAGAACTTTTATATGTTTCTTATAATATGTTCTTTACTCAAAATATATATGCAAATTTAATTCATGGCTATAAAAAGGAAAATCCTACAAATACTGGAATGTTAGTCATTACTGGAATGTAAGACGTTTGCCGTATTCCTCATATGTTGTTCAAAAAATGTGATCAAAATAGAACCATACACTAGAGGAACGTTCTATATTTGATTGGTATGTTCTTCAAATGATTGAGACATGGAATGACTCGCTTTCAGTGTCCCTGACAGACCCAAGAGCAAATACACAGAGGCAGAATATGGAATGAGTGATTGGCCCGGAAAACAGACCCCATTTCTTTCTGTTCTCTCAGAGGCCATAAATCATGGATATTTCATACTGAGTTCCTTACAGGTCACAGTTTTTGGCCTCTTTGCTGCTTTTATGGATCCGGCAGCACTGGGAGTCATGGTTGTCTTGCTGTCACTCAAAGTTTCATGTTAGTAAGTTTAGTCACATGTTTAGTTCATGTTAGAGTTCAATAAGACTGGTCAACCTGACCTACAGGATGCAAAACCCTCCATAGCACCTCACCCTCTTCCTGCACAGCTATAGCCCAGCCAGAGTGCCCCCTCCTACATTTTCCATCAGGCCTGAATCCACCAAACTGCCACAATAAACACACAAGTGGAAGAAGGTAAACACCACCCAACCACTCCCCCGCCGAGAGATTAAGACTTCCTCTAAATTACACCCACTGCTGGAGTAGCTCGTGAAGGAAAAAGGAGGACGTCGCCTTATTTCCCACGTCTCCGCAAATCAATCAGTCACAGGCCAACTCCAAAACACGGTATCCCACACAAGTCTCAGGATGATGGCTGAGACCTGTGTCAGAAGAGGTCTAAATGCTTATCTCTTGAAAATGATGGCAGCCTCAGGGTGCTGAAAAATGAACTTTCTGTACTAAAAATCAGCCAACTTCATCTCCTCAGCGAGTCGGTCTGGCACGAATTCCTCTGAGGCCTTGCTGACAGGAGAAGCTAGAATAAGGATCAGTGTGCCCTGATGGGCCTTTTTTTTTTTTTTTTTTTTTTTAGCGTGTGGGAAAAGGAAACCATTAAGTGATTATGAAAAATTAATCGAAAGGGCAAGAAAGAGAGGATGTGGATACTGGCAAGTTGGGAGGGAGTTTTCCTTTCAACAATTAAAGCCACCCTATGTACGTCTGTGAAGAAAAAGCCAGGGGTCAAAAGACGCCCTGCTAATAGACACAGACTTCTCAGAATCCATCAATCTGTCTCGATATTTTCTCTATAGTATTTGTCATTTAAACTTAAACATGACATTCCTTCTTTTTGTAGAGCCTTAATTTATCAAGATAAGTTCTCAAAGCAGATGCCATTTAAAGCCATTAGGTCTGTGATACTTTGGAAAATATGGCCCAGAATAAACAGCTGTGCATTAGGATCCAGCAGATATATTAAGCTTTTGGCAGATATGGATTTTTTTCACATTCATATTTTTTAGCTTGTCTTTGTTCATGTCAAGGACACTAAGAATGGAACAAAATAAGAAATAAAAACACTTTTCACACTGGTGGTCTGAACCAATCCAATCATCAGATTTCTGTCAAACTAAAACAATGGATTTAGACAGAAATATCAGTGACCAGTTCAACCTGCAACACAATCTACAATATGATATTTTGACAATCAAAGGTAAAGTAAGTTTCAAATTGATCTAAT